ATTTGTACTGACCAAATGCAAAAATTGACCTTAAGCATATCTTCCACTTTGTAGGCTATAATGTCTACTTGTGAATCTAGTGGAGTTTCTGCATTCTTATTAGGTTTGGTTATTTGCTTAGTATACCCGAGGTAGCCATTTTGCTATCAGGTTTGTAGCAGACATCAAAATCTGCATTACTTGGAGTAGATGTAGTATAACTGGTTCACTCTGATTTTCCCCAAATTCTTTTCAATGGCTCATGATCTGTTTCCAGTGAATTTCTTATGGATCAGACATGTACAGCATCTTGGGATATGTAACAACAAAGCATGTTGGAATAATTTAATTGCTCTTGACATGACTGGTTTGCAATCTGGCATGATGCATGCTCCTACCCTGAGACGTACGACTTTCCGGTTGTGTCTTCATCCTTGGGTCATGGTTTTGTAGGATACAAGTGTCCACTGACAACGCTACAAGACTTCTATCCTTAACAGCTCTCTCTTTGACAACATTTTAATCAGAACAGTTTGTACGTATGGTGCTATGAAGTTAAAGTATATCAGGGACATCTCTGCAGATCTTGTCTTGGAATGTAGTAAGCATGTGTCTAAGTGACTCAGGCCTGCCATTACACAGTACCTGTTATTGGTCACTAATAGTTCCCATTAACAATTATTTACCCTCCCAGCCTGATCATTATCAACTCTGTCTATCTAACTGCTCTTCTCTCTCTTTAGGCTCTATCCTATCGTTTACTCCCTACCCAACCCCCCTCCCCGTTTTTCTGCATATAAAATGACATTTACCCAGCCACCATCAGTTCTGAGGAAGGGTCACCGGACCTGAAACATTAACTCTTTTTTTCCTTCACAGCTGCTGCCAGGCCCGCTCAGCTTTTCCAGCAACTTTGTTTTTGTTCCTGATTTAAACATCTGCAGTTCTTTCAGTTTTTATTATGTGTCTAAGTGAACTGATCTACATTCACTTCTTGCTGTTGAAGACAAATGCTTCCTGACATACTACTGTCAGTGAATGTAGTGTTGTGCTCCTCCCTGACACAGTGATGGCAAAACCATCAGCAATTCATATTCATCCACAAATTCCATATGCTGTTGGAATAGTTCCTGCCTGACAGATTGTAAATTGGTCTCTGGAAGCAATATATTTCAAATAGTGTTCTGAAAGTAGAGAGTTGTTGAGCTTCCTTTGCCAAGTGAACCCGAAGGGTCTAGGCCCGAAACATCAGCCTTCCTGCTCCTATGATGCTGCTTGGCCTGCGGTGTTCATCCAGCTCTACACCTTGTTATCTCAACCAACACACATTCTTAGCGTCCAGACTTGTAAAGAATTTAGGTCCTATGAATTTGTCATTCAATTTTTCTAATGTTGAAAATTTGTGTGAGCATATCTTCAAAGAAAGATTTAGAGGTCTCAGATCCAAACATACCCTGTTGCCATCTTGCTTTAGAATGCACAACATAGAACCATGCCTGTATATGCTGGAGTGCATGATGGATTATACCGTTATGCTCCATTTGGTGCAGCTTCCTCTTAACCTTCTCTCATGTGAATGTTGCACGTTCGGGGGCGAGGGGGGGGGGGGGGGGGAATGTGTGTGTGGGTGTGTGGGTGGGTGTGTGGGTGTGTGTGTGGTGGTGGTGGTGTGGTGGTGGTGATGAATGACTTCCAGGCTGACAGAACATTTGGAGAAATAATACAACATGATCTTTGAAGTTTCCTCTGGCATTGAATCCATCTGAGTGTGACTGTTGCAAGTACTGCACCAATTCAACATGAGTACTCCTTCCACCTTCTACTAAGATTGGTAATTTTATGGAAGGTTATAAAATTGAGATCTAGACAGGCTGGCAGTCTTATTATCATTGTCCACCAGGTAAAGGACTGTGTTTTCCATATAGAATTGCTTCAGCTGCATTACATGGTGAATACTCCAACACAAAGGATACGCAACTCATCAAGAGGTCTTTTTGGAAAGATTTGAAAGCTATTTGAGATCAGAAATAATTATATCTTACTGTAGGTATACAGGGCCTTGGGGAGACCATACCTGGAGTAATTTGAGGAGTTCTGGTCTCCCTACCTAAGTGATACAATTGCCATAGAGGAAATGCAGCGAAGGTTCATGAGGCTGACACTAGGGACGGTGTGGGGCTGCGTTGAGGAGAGATTGTTTCAACTAGCTTGTATTCACTGGACAGTTTGGAAAGATAAGAGGGCACCTGACTGAAATATATAGAATTCTAACAGGGTTGGACAGGCTAGATGCAGGGAGGATCTTGTCCTTAAGAGGGAACCAGGGGACACAGTCGGAGGGTACAGGATGGGCCATTTAGTACTGAGATGAGGAAACATTTCTGCACTAAAAAGTGAGCATACCGGAGGAATTCTCTGCCCCAGAAGGCTGTGGAGGTCAAGTCACTGAATATATTCAAGAGATAAGCAGATGAACGTTTACATTTTAAATGGTATCAAGAGGTATGGGGAGGAAGTAGAAATATGGTATTGGGATAGGAGATAAATCACAAAAATATTGATGGCACAGCCTACAGCTCCTGGTTTCTATTCAAAGTTTCTCTAAGCAGCTCTATTATCTACTTATACAGCTCAGCCTCTGAACAAATTACTATCCTTGCACTTGTCACCATATCTGCTGACACGCCATTCGATTGATTCTTGTGGCGTTGCCTCCAAAACATCAGCCATAAATGATAAATTCTGAAATTCATATTTACACAACAATGATCTTCCATCACTTCCCAATGCTTAACAGGATTTCACTGATCCTTGTTGTATTAGCCCATGCAGCTCCTGGTCTTGAATGACTCTTACTTTCACCACTTGCCTATTTTGATTTTCTAAAAAGCACTGTTCCATTATTTGGTTATAAAACTCACACTTATATACAATCTCTGTGGCTTGTCAACTCATGCTAGGAAATTTAGTAGTCAGCTTCCTGATATTCCCTGCATTTTACAAAGGTTATCAATGTGTAGGGGATTTATAGTAAATGACCCTGATGTGTGCAAAGATTCAGCATTGCACCTGCTGTATTTTTGATTTTCTTAATTCATCCCTGCACTATTTTGGTCTTCAGCTCAAACTTTATTTTGTGTGCTTTATCTTTTTGGATGGAAATCGCACCCAAGGTTGTCTCGGCAACCTGGAACTTCTACAACTGTTTGGAAACAACTTGTTGTCCAGATACCACTGATTTGACCAGCTCACAAATCAAGTATTTACTGTTTAGCCGGTACCATTTGTATTCTAAATTTATTTTTCTGTGGTAAACATAACTTCTGCACTGCTTCAAACCTCTATTTGTGTGCATCACTGTCCTTTTGTTAGTATAAGAATCACTGCTAATCATGTCATATTTTTGAGTTGTGTTCCTTAACAAAGAATTACTGCTCATACTGGGCTGATGAGTAGTGTAGGTTCAAATCTCAAAACAGATTTCTCAGACAAACTGAGAACCCACGGTTACAGAACAACTTAAACATCCTTGGCCTTGCATCCTGCTGCTTGGAGTCTTCGTGACTGATTATGTCGAGTCATCCTGGCCCTGGACTCATTACATGTAGCTCATAAAGCAGTAACATAACAAATAGGACGCAAATTTAGCATCCGATCTGAAAGACGGCATCACCAATGTTGTTCTTCCTCCGTACTGCACTGCAACATCAGCCTAGATTTTTGTGGTTAAGTCTTTGAATAGAACTTGAACATACAACATTCAGGCTACAAGGCTGACTTTGTTGCAAACTCTGAAACACTTTGGAATGTTTTACATTAAGTCACAACATATATGTGGAATAGTCATGTTTTGAACTCAGTAAGAAAACATCAACGTGATAATTAGTACCTACCATTAAAATTTCTGCATTCAAATCAGAAATCTAGCTTAGCTCAGAAATAAATATTATAATAATCAGTACAGTACTACAGCAGTAATTGTTCAAGTAACCTGTATGAACAATTGAGGTAAATGAACTCAAATCTCATGGCAATCATTGAATCTGAATTGAGTGAAGAAAAATAGTTTGGAGCACAGTTCTAAAAGAATAATATAGTGACTACGCGCCTGTCAGATTGTCACAAGAACGAATCTGGTTCAATGCCCATTGGGGAAGGAATGTCATCCTTGCCTGGTCTGGACTGTATAGCTAACTTAGCAATGTGATTGATTCTTAACTACTTTTTGAAATGATCTAACAAACCACTAAGCTGTTAAGGCTTCAGTGCAACACCACCTAGTAAAAAGCAATTTATAATTTACGGGCCTCGCCAACCCTGCCCCTACTCCATGCATAAAAACTCAAGTTGTTGTTCTCTTTGGAGAAAGCACCCCGCGACCTTTGCTGACAGTGGACACGAGGCTAGCAAACGTTTAAAAAAAGACTTTTATTTGTACCGTAAGCACTCGCACACCAAATTCCTGGGCCAAAGATGCAAACTCTGCCATACACACACCTCTTGTTGGTGGTATGTTTCCAGAGAACGCGAGAAAGCGACAGGTTTGAAGATTTCAAAATAAAAACCGGAAACATCGAAAAATAAAGCAAAAAACAGGTTTCAAACTCCTGAACCGACTGCCTGTCTATCAATTGTACTTCTTTTGTTTGGCACATACCCCCCAAACAAAACTACTGTTAGACATGAACAGTGAGACACTCGGGGCTGCCTCCTGCAAACCTCTTGTTTTTCTCGCAACAATGACTGGTTGAGGCCACAAGGTGTGGAGCTGGATGAACACAGCAGGCCAAGCAGCATCAGAGGAGCAGGAAGGCTGACGTTTCGGGCCTAGACCCTTCTTCAGCCGCTCCGCCAGTTTCGCCTGAAATCCGAGCTGTAAACCAAACAGAAAAATGAGAGTTCCTCCCCTCCGACCCACCCAGCAAGCGGCAGGCCGGACAACAGCCCCGACCCGGGGGCCTCCGCTTCACCATTTGGGGGAAATGGAGGGCAGGGGAATCTGGGCTTGGGTCAACACTCACTCTGATCTTGCGACTGATTTCAGTTCCTATCTCCATCCCTCAAGCGTGGCTCCTCGCCCTGGCCCCCGTCTCCTTCTCCCTGTCGGTGTCTCGGCAACGGCGCAGCAGCCGGGGAACTACGGGCTGTCATTCGCATCAGTCCTCCTCCTCCTCCGCGAAATCCAAAACCGCGCTCAGTTCGCGTTTCGAAACCCAGTGATGATCCGCCAACAAACCCAATTTACAGCAAGGGTTGACAAATCCCGCACTGCAAATAGAATAATGCTGAAAATAGGAACGTCTTTAACAGCCATAAAATTAACATAAACTCCGATTATATAACACCTTTCTCAACCACTAGATGTTACAGCCACTCTGCAGCCCACTAACAGCAATGTCATGACAACGAATGATTATCTGATTCTTAAAGTGATTGAGAAGTATGTATACGAAGAGGCCGGGGATAACCTTTGCTTTCTCAGAATTGTGGCATCCACTCTTAAAGCCAGGGGCGTCATCCACCAAAAGGTGTGTGTCAAAACCTTTTGGAACTCCTGACACATAGTATAAAATTCCAGGGCATTTGCCTTAAACTTCTAATTGGCAATTACCCTGCTAATAAGAAACTTTGAGGTAAGAGTCAGAGGCTTTTAAAGGGATGGAATTTAGCTGGATAGAAGGACTAAACCGATTTTAAAGCCTGCATAGCTGTACAGCTGACACTCATTCTAACTCCCTACTGAATCTCCTTGATCCACGGTCTGATTGCCAAGGGTATGCCTTCTTCCCATACCCAGAATTTAAGATGACCACTAAGTCATTGTCGGAAAAGCCCATCTGGTTCACTAATGTCCTTCAGGGAAGAAATCTGCTGACCTCACCTGGTATGGCCTACATGTGAATCTACATCCACAGCAATGTGGTTGACTCTCAATTGCCCTCTGAAATGGCCGAGCAAGCCATTCAGTTGTACCAAACGCCACAAACTCTCAAAAGAAATGAAACCGGACAGATCACCTGGCATAAACATAGGCACTGGGAAAGATAACAGCATAAATAATCCTGCTGACCCTGCAAAGTCCTTCTTACTAACTTCTGGGGGCTAGAGCCAAAATTGGAAGAGTTGTCTCACAGACTAATCAAGCAACAGCCTGACATTGTTTGTAAGATATGATTCTGTGAGTATGACTGTATCCCAGACACCACCATCACCTCCTGTCTGATCAGCTGGAAAGACCCGGCAGAGCTGGCAGCATAGAGGTATGAAGTTGGAAGAGAGTTGCCATGGGAGTCCTCAACATTGACTCCGGACCCCATGAAGTCTTGTGGCTTCAGGTTATACATGGGCAAGGAAACGTTCTGCTGATTACCACATACTGCACTCCCTCAGCTGATGCATCAGTATTCCTCCATGTTGAACAACACTTAGAGGAAGCACTCAAGTTAGCAAGGGCACAAAATGTACGCTGGGTGGAGGATATCAATGTCCACCATCATGAATGGCATGGCAGCAGTACGACTGATTGAGCTGGTCAAGTCCTAAAGGACACAGCTACTGGACTGTGTCTGCGGCAGGTGGTGAGGGAACCAAGAAGAGGGAAGTACATACTTGACCTCATGCTTACCAATCTGCCAGCTGCAGATACATCTGTCCATGACAGTATCGATAAGAGTGACCAACGCACAGTCCTTCTGGAGATGAAGTTCCATCTTTACATTAAGAATAACCTCTGTCATATTATGTGGCACTATCACCGTGCTAAATGGGACAAACTTCAAATAGATCTAGCAACTCAAGACTGAGCATCCATGAGGCACTGTAGGCCATCAGAGTAGAATTGTACTCAGCACAATTTGTAACTGCATGGCTTGGCATATCCCCCACTCAACCATTACCATCAAGCCAGTTCAAACATCGACAAAAGAGATGAATTCCAGAGGCGAGGTGAGAGTGACAGCCTTTCACATCAAGGAGCCCTAGCAAAACTGAAATCAATGAGTATCAGGGCAAACTCTCCGCTGTTTGGAGTCATACCTGACACATAGGAAGATGGTTGTGGTCACTGGAGGTCAGTCATCTCTGCAGGAGATCCTCAAGGTAGTGTCCTAGGTCCAACCATCTTTAGCTGCTTCATCAATGACCTTCATAAGGTCAGAAATGGGGATGTTTGCCAATGATTGCACAATATTCAGCACTCTTTATGACTCCTCAGATACTGACGCAGTTCATGTTCAAGATTTGGACATTATCAAGGCTTGGGCTGACGAGTGGTAAGTCACATTTGTGCCACACAAATACCAGGCTATGACCACCACCAGTAAGAGACACATGTAACCACGGTCCTTTGACATTCAATGGTGTTACCATGACTGAATCCTCCACTATCAATATCCTGGGGTCCACCATTGACCAGAAATTCGACTGGACTCACCACATAAACACAGTGGCTACAAGAGCAGGTCAGATGCTAGGAATACTGTGGCGAGTAACTCACCTCCTGACTCCTTGAAGCCTGTCCACCATCTACAAGGCACAAGTCAGGAGTGTGACAGAATACTCCCCAGTTGCCTGCAAGAGTGCAGACCCAGCAACACTCAAGACGCTTGACACCATCTCCGACAAAGCAGCCCACTTGATTGGCATTAAATCCACAAGCATCCACTCCCTCCACCACCGACGCTCAGTAGCACAGTGTGTACTATCGACAAGTTGCACTGCAGAAATTCACCAAAGATTCTCAGAAAGCGCCTTTTAAACCCATGACCACTTCTATCTAGAAGGTCAAGGACAGCAGGTACATGGGAACAACACCACCTTCAAGATCCCCTCCAAGCCATTCACCAAATTGACTTGGAAATACATCTCCGTTCCTTCACTGTTGCTGGGTCAAAATCCTGGAATTCCCTCCTTAATGGCATTGTGTGTCAACCCACAGCAGGTGAACTGCAGTGGCTCAAGCGTCGCCACTTTCAATGAATTTAAAAAACGCTTGATGCCTCTAAAATTTAAACATATATCTATCTCTTTATGAATATATTCAGTGACATGGCCTCCACAGCCCTCTGTGGTAGAAAATTTAGCAAGTTCCCGATTCTTTAAGTGAAGATACTTTTTTCTTATTGCAGTCCTAAAAAGCCTACCCCATATTCTAAGTTTGTGACCGCTTGTTCTACAATTCACAACTAGGGAAAACGTCTTCCCTGCATCAAGGCTGTTCATTCCTGTTAGAATTTTATATGTTTCAATCAGATCTTCTCTCATCCTTCTAAATTCTAGTGAGTGCAGACCCACTCAAATCAGTTTCTCCTCACAGATCAAAAACAGAAGTTGCTGGAAAAGCTCAGCAAGTCTGGCAGCATCTGTGAAGAGAAAATCAGAGTTAACGTTTCGGGTCCGGTGACCCTTCCTCAGAACTCAGCATCCGCTGTCCTTTTGGTTTTTATTTAGTATTCTCCCCACAGAACAGTTCTGTTATCCCTGGTAATAAGCCTAGTGAACCTCCACTATGCACTAAGAGTATCCTTTCTTAGGTACAGAAACCAAAACTGCACACAATACTCCAAGTGTAATCTCTCAAGGCCTTGTATAATGACATTACTACTTCTTAAATCAAATCTTCTTGCAATTAAATTCAATATACTAATTGCCTTCCTAATCTACTTTAATTGACTTGTGTACAATGACTTGTTTCTGCAGCTGCATAAGAGACTCCAGGATGGTATGTTGCCTCCCTGGTGTCGGGGTCTGGGTTGTCATTGAATGGTTGCAGGTCTTTCTGAAGAGAGAAGGCAAACAGACATAAATATTGGTACCAATGACATAGGTAGAAAAAGAGATGAGGTCCTGCCAGCAGAATTCAGGGAGTTAGGAAGTAGATTAAATTACAGGACCCAAAAAGGTGGTAATCTCTGGATTACTTTCAGTGCCACATGGTAGTGAATTTAGAAATAGGAGCTCAATTTTAGGTCGTGAAGCTGGGCTGATGGTTGAAGTACCAGTGGGGGAGCATTTTGCAGACAGTGAACATAACTCCATCAGATTTAAGATTATTATGGAAAAGGTCAAGGATGGGCCTATAATCAAAGTTCTAAACTGGGGGAAGGTTGATTTTGATAAAGTCAGGTATGATTTGGCCAGAGTGGACTAGATATTTTTAGGTAAATCTGTGTCAGAGCAGTGGGACACATTCAAGAAGGAAATAGAGTACAAAGGACCAAACTGTTCCAATAAAGACAAAAGATGGAACCAAGAAATCCAATTAACCCTGGATATCAAGGGACGTACAGGATTAGATGAAGAGAAAAAGTAAATTTTATGGCAGATACCAAGAGTTTAAAACAGCAGAAATTCTAGAGGAGTAAACACTGTCTAAGTGGAAATGTAGAAACCAAATCAAGACAGCAAAAAGGGGGTGTGAAAAGATAATGGCAAGTAAAATAATGGAAAGTCCTAAATTAAGGATTACATTAAGGATAAAAGGATGACAAGGGAAAGAGTAAGGCCCATTAAGGACCACAGTGGCTATGTGAGCCTGAAGTCAAAGGATGCAGGTAGGATTCTAAATGAATACTTTGTGTCAGTGTTCACTAGAGAGAGGAGCAGTGTGGAAGCCAGGGAGTGATATAATTAAAATAAATTGGTATAGACAGAGAGGAGGTTAAGAGTGGTCTGGCATGCCTAAAAATACATAAATCTCCAGGGCCGAATAAAATGCATCCTATGCTGTAAAGTGAGGAAAAGGAGGAAATCACAGGGGCATTGACAATAAATCTCAATTCCTCCATAGCCAGAAGAGAGGTGCTACAGAACTGGAGGACAGCCAGTGTGGTATCATTATTCGAGAGGGGAGCAAGGGATAAACCAGAAAACTACAGGCTAGTTAGTCTAAACTCAGTGGTGGGGAAACTATTGGAAGCAATTCTGAGGAACAGTATTTATCTGCTTTTGGAGAAGCAGGGATTAATTAAGAATAGTCAGCACGGTTTTGTTAAGGAGAGGTCATGTCTGATCAATGTAATTGAATTTTTTAAATAGTAATCAGATGTGTAGATGACAGCAATGCATTTGACGTAGACTTCAGGCTTTTGATTAGGTTCTGCATGGGAGACGGATAGCAAAGGTAAGAGCACGTGGAGTCCAAGGAATATTGGACACAGATTTGGCTGAGTGGCAGGAAGCAGAGGGTAATGGTAGAGTATTTTTTGTGACTAGAAGTCTGTGTCCAGTGGAGTTCTACAGGGATCAGTTTCGGGGTCCTTGCTGTTTGTGGTATATATGAGTTATTTAGGCTTAGGAGGACATTACCATTTA